TAGCCACTTTGGCTTGCCATGCTTAAAGGCGGGTTCACAAGCTAATCTGCCAAAAGAGAAAAAAAAAGTAAATAAATAAGAAAAAGTTTGCATATTTATTTTGAGTTATTCTTCTAGTATATTTTTTCTCAATATCTAAAAGATTTATATAAATTAGTGTATTTAAAAAATTAAAAAATTAAATTATAACTGATTTGATTTGATTTGTTACATAACAAATCTCAAATAATATATAATAAAATAAATCAAATGCACAACAAGTTTGCTATATAACAGATCACAAATTATACACAAAATAAATATAAGTAATTTAATTAAACATACACTAAAAATAATAAATAAACAAAAAAATATTAAAAAAAAAATTAGGTGGACTAGCCAGCCTCGACCTACCATTTTTCTCGACAGGCTGGCAAGCTAGGCAAGGGTGGGCTAGAATACCTAGCCTAACTTGCCAATTTTTAACGGGCCAACATATTGTGACCCATTTTGCCACTTCTAGATGTGATAAAAATATTAATTCAACTTTGTATGTTTATAGTTAAATTTATTTTATTGAAATTACTCTAAATTCGTGTCTCTTTTATCTTTTTCCCACAATGTCTATTGTTGATATGCTTTTTTTTACTCTCATAGAATTGAAGAGCTCTATCAAGTCGGTACAAACACGAATAATGTTACAAAAAAAAAAATTGACAATAGGGACTAAAATATTAAGAAAATGCAAATACATGAACCAAAATGATCTATCTTAATTTATAAGGACTCAAAGAGATAGAAAAAGATAAGTTAGAGACTAAAAGTGTTTATTTTAAACTATAGAGACTAAAAGGTAAAGTAAGTGAAATTATAGGGATTAAAAATATTTTAACCTATAATTATTTAGTTATTTTTATTTATTTGCTGAAATATTTTTATGATTCTTTTAAGATTTATATATGTTTGTAGTCCCTTAAGTTTAAGGTAAATTTATTTTTGATCTCTTAAATTAAAAATTGTTTTTTTTAGTTGTGTAATTTTTAAAAATCTTGGTTTAATTCCTTAGGTCACAAATAACATATTTGAAAGTGACAAATTAAGATAAATATGGACCATCAACTATGTTTAATATAATATTTTCACTAATAGAAACACTAGTAATTAGATTTTATGTGACAACACATGATAGATTTTTTAATCAAATTTGAGTATAAGAATTAAAATAATATTTTTTGAAACTACATAAACTAAAAAGACCAATTTTAAATTTGAGGGATTAAAAACAAATTTATCATAAATTTGATGAACTAAAAATATATTTAAGCCTTCTTTTAACGTAGGATTAAATGCATTTTTGTCTCTTGAGTATTATAATTGTGTTATTTTGACCCTAAAAATTTTAATTGAGCAATTTTAATCTCCTAAATATCATAATTGTGCAATTTCAGTCTTTCAAATTTTAATTAAATAATTTTAATCCCTAAATTACCGTAATTATGTAAATTTAATCTCTCAAATCTCGTAGTTATACAAATTTTTACTATTACATATATTAGTAATTTTTTTAATAATAAGTATATATCATTTAATACATAAATAAAAAAACATAATTTATGTAACTTAAATAAATTAAAATGTGTATAATGATTATAATAAGTGGATAAAAACGCGATTAAGTCTTTAATATAAAACTAGAAACAAACTATTTTTTAATTTATTTTATTTTATCTTTAGGTTTTTTTTTCATCCTTATTTATTATTTTATGTAACCATTTTACTTCTTAAGATTTTAAAAATAAAATATTATGATATAATTAGTATTTTAACTTATGCATTTTACAAGTTAAATATTTATTATATATAACTAATATTTATAATAAATTAATATACAAATAAATATTATATTTAAATATATATATATATATATATATATATATTATTTAAAATTTATATAAATAGATATTTTTAAATATGAATTATATTTTATATTTAAGATAAATAATTTATATTACGATAAAAAAATATTTTTATTGATAATTTATTTTCAAAATATTAAAATTTAATTCATAAATAAATATGAAATTGAATTAGATAAAAAATTAAGAGATTCTCTAAAAATTATCTCATCAAAAAATATATCCTACAAACACTCCCATATAAGATAAATTATTCATATTTAATATATAAAAATCAATTATTTAGTATTCTTATTTACTTGCTTAATATGAAAGTAGAAAAACTATAATATTTCCTTTCTTTTATATCTAGTTATTTTTTTTCATATTCATTTATCATTTTAACCATTTTACTTTTAAAAATTTTCAAAATAAAAGATTGTAATACAATTATTTTATCATTTTTTATTTCTTTGCTTAAATATTTTTATGATTCTTTTAATATAAAAGTAGAAAAGAAATTAAATTTTCCTTGCTTTTATTTCTAGGTATTTTTTTCATCCTTATTTATTGCTTTAAGTAACCATTTTACTTTCAAAGATCTTCAAAACAAGAGATTATAATATAGTTATTTATTTCTTTCCCAAAATTAAAATAATATAGTTATTTATTTATTTTTATTTCTTTTATTAGATATTATAAGGATCCATCATTGTCATTATACTTAGGGTTCACTAATTAGCATCAGGAAAAAAATAACTAATATATCTAGGATCAATATTGTCACTACTCCTAAATTAAACAATTATATATATAAATATATGTACAATAATCTAATTGTGAAAATAAAAATTCTAAGTTGTCAGTCAAACAATTACTAATAATTACAACTCCTAACTAAAGTAGCACTAAGCTACATGTCAATAGCGTGACTCTATAGATATCAACATCTAATCTATCTCTACTTTGCTTTCATGTAAAACACGATCATCACAGTTTCAATTACAAGAAAAACAATCAAAGATAAGCTAGTATTCAAATCACATAAAATAAAGGTAGCTATGCAAACTATAAAAAACTTCAACATTACGACTCAATTAAACAACACATATCAACATAATATACAACTCAATAATATAATATTTATCTACTCAACATTTTCTTAACAATACAACATAATATAATGCTTAACATCATATCCAACTTAATGCATATATCATACAACTTACCAGCATACCAACTTAGTATGTCCATAATACAACTTCTCAATACCACATGTGATCAACACTACAACTCACAATGAAACTACCTAATAGAACCACAACTCAAACAACATTGCATCATAGCAACATAGATCAACATACATCACAACCTTTTGTATTAACAACTTTCAAAACATCATCTTAGTAACACAACTTCACAACTTATCAACTTTTCAACTTACAACAAATTATACAACTCATCATCATATCATCTTAGCAAATAAGTGACATAACTTATTAACACAACTAATTATCAAAAAATTCACCTAAACAACACAACTATTCAACACAATGCGTCATTACGCATTTCAACCGAGAGATATCGTACAAAACAGGTGAGTAATTTAAGTGGTTAGACCTAATCGAACCACAACGTGTAACCTATCTCAACCAAGTCATTTACCAACTCAATTTAATTTATCAAATTTTGTCTTTTAAACTAAGAAGTCTAGTTAAATTGCTTTAAGTCAAATATGCTTAATTATAAGATTTTTAAGTGATGAATTACTAAAAAGTATATACATATTGTTGGTATAAATAATACTAATTAATTCCTTTAAACTATCTTGAAATGTATAATCTCACATTTATACAAATTTTTAAATCTCTCTCATTCTAATGTGTATCCTATTATTATAAGTTTATAACATTCATCCAACTTTTCTAAACCTTGTGATATTTGTAAACTTCTTATACATATGTTGTCTATATTTCGTTCAACTATTATTTTCCTATAATTAATCTGTTATCTTTTTGAATTTCTAGATTAATTAAAAGATATTAATATGGACTTCTTTTTAAAAAAAAAAAAGTTTAAAGAGAAAAAGTGGTTATATGGATTATTTTCTATAATTCCTTGTTAATATTATGTTTATAATACTAGTGTACTGACTTATGCATGGCATAAATTTTAATTGTTATAATTAATATATATATATATATATATAATATATATATATATATATATTATATATATATATATATATATTAATTATAACAATTAAAATT